CCAGCTGCGAGCTTCTGGCGCTGCCAGCAGGAGCAGAGCGTTGCCTGTGCACCGCCCAGGGCTCTACACAGCCGATGTGAAGATTATATGCTACCGCCGGTGCTTTAGAAGTTGCGTCGTTTTGCAACTGACCCTGCTGACATCGCGTACATCGGAGCTTTGCACGAGACGCAAGGACAGAGCAACAACGGAAATACAAGCAGGCCGAAGTGAAACCCGAAACCACGGCTGGCCGCGCGTACCTTTATCCTCTGCTGCATTGCAGACTCTATGCAAATAGTCCATCATGAGCCATGAGCAACTCATGTGGGCCCACATCAAACTGCGAGCTTTCATTCACAAGGCCGTGGTGCCGTTCCGATGGCCCGGATGCCCGGCGACAAGCTGCAGGAGTCTTAGAGTCTTTGAGAGATAGTATGGAGAAGAGTCAGAAGAGTCCGTGGTCAACCAAAGACCTACGCTGATTTTACGCAAAAGCTTCTGCCGTAACTGCCCAGTACGGCGGTAGGACGAAAGTTTGACCTGTTTGTTGTCTCGTCAACCACATGCCCCATCCCCCATCCCCCTTCGAATCCTAACGAACGCCGTATATGTTTTTAAACGTCTAAAATACTCCCCTGGCCAGGCCACGTAATTCGCACTTGGCGACACTCCACTACTCCGCAAGACGTCTTAAGACAAGAAAGGCCCACTATGTCAAAACATTTATCCTCCAGGTGTAGTGGCAGGTTTTCGCATTCCAATATTCAGAAAGCTCTCCCAGTCCGATAGACCGAAACCTTTAGCCCCACGGCTAAGTCTTTCCCGAGGGTTTACTGAGGCCAATACACTGGGCTTCGGTTTGGCGGCAGCCTGCGGAAAACAGGCGCGCTGAGTAAAGGCGAAAACACTTATGCTCGAAGCTAGGGCAATATGGATGTGATGATAAGCAAGTACTACCCAGTTTCAGCAAGCCTTGCCGTTGGTGACTTTCTTGGCAGGAACCTCCTTGTCAGACATTGTCGAACCAAATGTTGTGTGTGCCAGCTCCACGCATCAGTTGCTGCGAGTGACAACTTTGGATGGATACTGATGGATAGGGCAATTGATAGGACAGGCTACAGCAGCCCGCTGACCCGTCCTTCTGCGGCTTCGAGGGCGCGGAGCTTTTCGGAAGCTGCAACAGGGCAAGGGATATGCACTATAAGTACTTGTGGACCAGGCGCACGATGCAGACACCGCAACACAGTTACCAAAGTCGTTAGATACGGTCAGGCATTCTGTCGCTCTGTCCAGCGACTGCGGTAATTTTCTGCTTCTGAACTAAACCTACAGCCCCCTCAACTGTGGAACTTGATAAAGAGACGGCTCTTCTGTCCCGGCACCTCAGGAAACTGCTCTCCACCGGTCTCGGACCGGAGAAGCGCCACCAATCGGCAAGCGAGCAAGAATGACAGCGAGTAGTGTGCGCTTCAGGATTTAGGGCTTGAGTCGCACACCCTAAAGAAGAGTAAGGATGATAGCAAGACTACTGGTGAGAGCGTAGCTGAAAACGGCAAGCAAGATGGCATTTGCGGTAACACTGACAGACCCAAAAAAGCAGATTTAATGTAGGTAACAGCGCTGCCATAGTCATGATGATTGTCGCCGTCGTCGTCGTCGTCGTAGTAGCAGCAGCAGCAGCGGCGGCATTAGCAAGATCAAGAGTCATTGCAGCGACAAGACAAGTTATCAATGTTGTGGCGTTGCCATGCCCGTTGGGAGAATGTGCTTTTGACAAGTGCGTTCAGAAGCTGGGAGCATCACTGGAGCAGGTGGCGCCTTTTCTCTCGCTACCTGGCAATGTGGAGCCAGCCAAACCGTCAAGGCTCCGACAGGTTCGATTTTTCAATGGCTCCCGATGCCCTGTGGGTCGGGGCCTGGTGTTGAGTTTGCCGACACGGTCTAGGTCCTAAAGAGTCTAGAGTCTAGAGCTCGCTGCGAACCCCAGAGTCTACACTAGACATTCTGTTCGTGGCATCCATCCACTCCCTGGCTCCCGAAAGAGCTTCGATATCCAGTCCTGGCTTTCATCTGCTTTCCATCTTGGCACTCAAGGGTCCGACATTGCGGTAATTAAACACAAGGTTTTCGGTTACATTCTCAGAAAAGTATAGCAAGGAACCTTAAGGATGCGAACCCCCTTTTTTTACCTTCCGCTGCCCAGGTCGTGCCTTGGAGTCTTCACAACACAGACCATCTGCAGACAGTCGAAAAGCAGAGCCGCACTCCAAATCATCCCAATCCCTCAAAGCAGAAACGACCATTCCTAACAATCGTACTAGCCGCAGTAGAGATATCTAATAATTAAAAATTTTATAATCCCAGCCACAACAACAACCAACGGTGCATGAACTCCAACTCAGAATCCACTACAGGATCCATTGTAAGCCCTCCCAAAAGCACCTTCCAAGATGCCCAGAAACTGAAACCCTAAACCATCCTAAACCCGAAGCCCCGAAACCCTCATAGAACCCTTAAAGGGCCCTAACAGAACCCTAATAGAACCCTAAAAGCCAAAAAAAAAACCTGTCTTTAGTGCTTGCCTCGGTAACGGCCTTTCCGGTCGAAGCCTTGGCGGCCCTGGCCTCTGCAAAGGGAGTTCGGATCTACCTGGACCATTGAAGAGCCTTCCTGTGGGCATCATTAAAAAGAAGGAACCCTGAAAGGGGAAGGTTCTTCAGGGTCCAAGTAGGGCCTCATTTTTTTGATGGTGCTTCGTGGGACTCAGGGCTCCAGCGATTAGGGTTTGGGCTTCAGTGGCTTCCGGAGGGATTGGACCGGCCTCTGCAATCGCTTCCGCAGCCTGTGGCGAAGTGCGAAACTGCAGGGACACAGCTCTAATGTTGCACACAGCAGATTTCAGAGAACCTTCAGAGTTGAATGCTGCAACCTGCATGCACCTTAAGTGGAAGCCACAACTTCGATTGAAGAAATGCCGCCCTCGGCCTCTTTGGCTGCAGCAATCTGCTTTGCTTCCCTGGCAGCAGCTTTGGCGGCCGATTTGGAAGGAGCCTCAGCTCTTTGAGCCGAAACTCCGAACCTCCGGCTAAGTTCCCTCGGGCGCCGGGCAGAGCTCAACACTGCGGCAGCGCTCTTGGCACCCCAACTTGGTGCCTGAAGCAGAGTTGAGATCAGGTTCATGGATCGCTACCTGCTTCCAGCTACGGCTTGGGTGGCTGAGGGCTTCTTTGAGGTCAGTATGTAAGGATTACACCACGAGCGTTCAAGAGCGAGTTGTTTCGGGCTCCTAACAGGATCTGGACATACACCATAATGTACCATAAAACACAATAAAATATTGTAAGATACTATTTACTATACTGTGAGATACTCGAATATACCACAATATAGAAGAATATACGATAATAGACGATAAGATACTATAATGCCCTCAAGTGAGTCTGCATCGAAGCTGGGGTCTCGGACTGCTGACGACCGCGAGCTGCCACCCTGGCAGAAGCAAGGTGTTGTCACTTTAGTTGTTGAGGGCTTACTTAGGGGTTAAGGGCTTTAGGGCTTAGGGGTTAAGAGTAGGGGCCTTAATGATTAGAAGGGGGCTTTGGGGGTACTGTACCTTATCGTACACTTATAAAAAGGAACCTTAGGGAATAATATTGGTAGTTATTAAGGCCCCTATATTAGGGCCTGTGGCGAGGATTCAGGGTCCAGGGCACTTTAGGCTTGGGAGCCTTCTTCGAGAGACCCCGGACTCAACTGCCGGATGCTGAGACTCAGGCTAGGGTGGGGAAAGCTTCGGCTTGGGCACCAGCATCGAAATCCTGTCGGTCACGCGCACGACTCACACTTCATTCTGTCTCACGACCGTGATCGAAAGTACTGGCGTGTCCTTTGGCTGAGCTGGAGCGGCTTTTCTGGGCCTGCACATCGTCTGAGCAAGGTAAGCAAGGACATGAAGCAGCTCAGTGTGGTGCTGCTGGTGGTAGAAGTATAGTGGTGGTTGAAGAAGTAGCAGTAGCACTAGCACTCGCAGTAGCAGGGGTACTAGCAGTAGCACTAGCAGTAGCAGTAGTAGTAGTAGTAGTAGTAGTAGTTGTTGTAGTAGTAGTAGTAGTAGTAGTAGTGGTCGTGGTCGTGGTAGTGGTAGTGGTAGCAGTAGCAGTAGTAGTAGCAGTAGTAGCAGTAGCAGCAGCAGCAGCAGCAGCAGCAGCAGCAGCAGGAGCAGCAGGAGCAGCAGCAGCAGCATAGCAGCAGCAGCATAGCAGCAGCAGTAGTAGCAGCAGCAGGAGCAGCAGCAGTAGCATTAACAGTAGCACTTGTGGCAGAAGGAAAAGAAGTGGGAGTAGTCGTCGTCGTCGTCGTCGCTGGTGGTGGTGGCATCCACTTGGTGAAGGTGCACTAGCACAGTGCGCACGGCCGTTTCCGTGGCGCAAGACAGTGTCCGTGCTTCGCTGAGGCCATGGCTTTGCCCATTCCTCCAGCGTCATTTCTCGTCTCGGCGGGGAGACCGACTGCGCAGACTCTGCGCCTGCACCTCAACGATCAGCAGCGTTGCTTGCTAACCGCTACTGAAGCCAACGCATGATATTTCCTGTGAGTTTTCTTGTGACTGAGCCCCGCGCCTGCGGTCGCTGCGGCCGCACTGTCCCGTGGCCTCAGAGCACATCTCTGCTTCAAGCGGGGGAACAATTCAATGTGAGTGTGCATCTGCGGTTTTATCACAGATACTTGTAATGGAAATGCCTTGCATGGGCTCCAAGCCTCAGTACACAATTCGCCGAAAGCATGGATGCCAGAAGCAGTCAGAGAATGTGCGGCTCGGCATGTATGTTTGACAACTATCGAGGGCACAGTGGGCTTCTTGTTCTGCTTCCGGCGATCGCAAGCTTTCGGCTGATCCATGCCAAGTCTTGAACAAGCTTCCAAGAACAACCTAGCCGATCGGTAAAGCTCTGGAAGCAGATTTTTATCATAGAGGAGCAAAGTTCACAAGTGGATTTGTTTGTGGCTCGGTGCCGGACACTCCCCACTTCACGTTCTCAGCAACCTGGGACGTTGCGAGTTCGGCGAGGAAAAGCTCAAAGCAAGCCTTCCGCAATGGAGACGCTGAGCGCTTGACGGGCACGCTGCTCCCACCCAAGCTTGGGAATGCCTTGAAACAGCACTGAAGCGAAAGTGGGCCACATGACGCTCACTTACATAAGATTAATAGAGCATAATATATCTGGTTCAATATACTATGACGTATAAAAGTTACTATACTATACTATGCTATAACCTACCAGAATGCACTACTAGTAATACACTGTAACACACCAGGGTTCTTGAGGTGCTTTGGTGTCACTGCAGATGCCGGCCTCCGCCCCTGTGTCCAGCAAGTTTTTGCCTCGAACACGATCGGCAGCGTTCGGGCCCTCGCAGACTCAGAATCACCAAAGTCTCTCCCATCCGCAGTATGTATGCCAACACCCACCAGTGGCCCGCACGACTTGAGGTGGATTCGGGCGCCTATCTTCTCCGTCTGTTTGTTCTGCTCTTGGCTGAAATGCAGTCCGCGCCTGGTGCCCGTTCTCGCCTGGCCACTCTGCATGCAAGAATCTGCTGGTCTAGGCGCGAGGTCAACACGAAATTAGACGTGCTAAGCAAAACGTTACCATATTAAACAAGACAACCAAGAGCGTATCATTGTATCATGTCGAATCAAGGCTCGTAAGAAACTCTCGGAATACCGTGCATATCCACTGTCACAAAGACCGACGCAAAAGGTGAATACTTAACTGATGTAGTACACAAACACATGCACTTTTCTGTGTATTTGTGATGAAGGCGTATATATGTATATATGTATATACACACATACATTGTGTCTGTACATACACTGCACAACATTACGATACATACAATTATATACAAACATGTACAAATATATATATATATACACATATATATATGTATATATGTACATACATAAAGATACATTGTCACCTACATACACCTAGTCGTATCTCTCTCGATGGGTGTATATATATATACATACTATGTACGTATATGTATGTGTATATATATATATGTACGCATGTGTCTGTATAAATATTTATGTTCTAATATATATATATATATACATATACATATATGTGTATACTGTATATGCCTACACATAATATGCAAATATGCATACATACATACATTCCTACCTACCTACCTACCTACCTACATACATACATACGTACATACATAATGTCTCCATATAATATGATGGTCTGGGATTCTGGATTTTTGTGCTTTGCCCTGCGGGGGTTGGAATTCCTATCTCTCAGATCCCTGGAACGTACGAGTTCAATAGGCAGTTGAGGACGAAATTCTGCTGTAGAACATGAATACTGGAACGCAGCGATTGAAGCACCTACAAAGCACCAGCCATGGACAGACCTCAACCCAAACTGCGACCCCTAACCTCAAACTCGCTGCCTAGCCCAGTGCGGGGTGGAGGAAAGGATTTAGCACAAACCACCCAGCAGCCGCCTGGCCGGCCTGCAGCCTGTGCTGGAGACCTCCAACAAAAGAGCTGCAGTTTGGATCCACACAATGGCACGTGCTGACACTCCATCAGGGGGAAGCAAGGACTGCACCGGCTAGAAAAGCAAACAAAAATCTGCAGGAAGATTCGGTCGGAGCTCAACGACATTTGCCAAGATGCGGTGCTGGGGTCTTCTGGCCAGGGCCCCAACCTTGATCGGGACTTCAGGATCCAGGTTCGAGTGTCGTGGATTCTCATCTTCCATCTGATATGACCCACGTGCTGCTTGTATTGCAGATCTGTGTCTTCGGGTATAAGCTCAGATTGCACAAAACCTTGCTGGGGGCTCCGCTGGCCACCGTCGCAGTCGCAGGGCCCGCCGCCCCTGGAACGTGTGGGAGAGATGTCCGCGGTAATCGTGGGCCAAGTAATTCTGCATCAAGGACTCTACGGGTTCTATCAACGAACCAACCAGACACGTTGGCTGCGTTTGTAGCGATTGATCAGAGATGTCAGCGAGAAGTTAGAGGATGTCAGATTGCGCACTGGTAGAGATGAGGACTGAACATGGGAAACGCTGAAAAAAAAACATAAAAGAACTTGATCCTTCAGGATGGTCATAGACTATCGTTTGTGCAGTCCACCAACTCTGCATGACTGCTCCCTCGAGTGTACCCGGTCGGGTGTTACCCGGTGACGTTACAACCATTGGCAAAGCGTGTTGCGTCCGGGCCGGTCCAAGTAAAACTAACATTCGGCAAAGTAAAGTGACTCCGGTCAAAGTAAAACTGGCATTCTGCAAAATGAGACTGGTGGATATGCAGAGTGAAGCTGGAGGGAATCAAGTTGGAATCTGCTAATGTAGGATCGAACACGGGCAGCGAGGCTGAGGGAACCTACTGTGGACTGGTCAGCATTCTCTTCCATGTTGCCGGCAAATGCCGTCACTGCGATGCCCTGTCTACAGGGCCTCAATTTTCTCGGGACGCTGTGGCTTCGCTTCTTGCCCACTGTCACCCCCCGCAACTCCGGAAAGGCTTTGCGCGTGCAGATGTCCAAGGATACTTCTTTGTCATTTTCTTCGGCCTGGCCCCTTTCGGGAGGTGCGGCCGGGGTTGCCGAAGGCTCTTTGGCACAGGGTGCTCGAGGTGCGTGGTGCTCTCCGGTGGCCCGGTGACAAGCTGGAGGAGTCTTAGTCTTTGACAGATAACACGGAGAAGAGTTACCGCGGTCTATCTTGATCTGGTTTTTCAGCTATCATGAAATCCTAAACTCAGAACTTGCTGCTGTAAACAGTACTAAACCTAAGCAGTGAGGCTCCCGTGACCCCTTGCAAAGATCAGGCGTGCAAGTCCCACCAACTAAAACCCAAACCACGACAGCCTCGAACACAGACGCACCAAATTCCAAGCAACTGATGACCCAGGCACCTCCCAATGCCGGAAATTGCTCCACCTGGGCGCTCACCTGCCAAGGTCTCTATGTCCGCGCAAAGGTTAGAAAGTGCCTTGGATCAATGCAGCCTAAACCAGCCTATCTTCGCTCAAGGCATCTCAAGCCAAAAGAACAAACAACCCCTTCTATCATGTACTAAACCCACAAGAGAAGACTTGGCCCAAAGCCGATACGTTGCATCCCGTGCCTCACGCGCCTGACCGGCCGCGATGTCGGACCAACCTGCGCCCCCCCCCCCCCCCCCCCCNNCCCCCCCCCCCCCCGACTGATATTTAAAAGTGGCGGACAGTGTGTCTCAGCAAATAAAGAAACGTGCATTCTGCTCTTCCCTCCCAATGGTATCCCGCTCCAAATACAAGCATCCTACCCGCCCACCCGAACGGCCAGGCAATCATGAATCCATCCATGAACCCAGCATGCATGCATGACCACCTACATAAACATACACACGCACATGCAAATGCAAGTGAATATACATATGAACATACACACACTCACACATGCACAAACAAACATATGCACATACAATACAATACAACACATTATAATACATTACATTACATTACATTGTATTACATTACATGACATGGCATGACATAACATTACATAGGCAAGCACATTCACATGCACATATTCATTATCATGTGCACATACACCTACGTATGTGTATATATATATATGTACAGGTATGCGTAGATGTACATATATATACATATATATATATATACCTATACACACACACATATATATATACATACATACATATATATGTGTGTATACATATATATATATGTATATGTATATATGTATGTATATTATATATATATATGTATGTATGTATGTATGTGTATATATATATAATATGGTTAATATATATACACACATATACATATACTTATACATATACATATACATATATATATATATATGTATGTCTATCATAATAATAAATATTAATATAAATATAAATATATATATATATAATATATATATATAATATATATATATGCATACAGTATACGAGCCTCGCGCATGGCGTGCGAGAGAGCTGACTTCTGCGCCAGAGTTTTGGACCTAGTCACTTGAATGAACAGACCCATTGGGCCTAAAGCGAGGCTTGGGCGTGCGCTTTGGGTTCCACCCCCATGATGCGAGCTGGGCTTCCGGCCGGTGCCTCCCCAAGTGATGGGAAATCCTGCCAATGAGTAGTCCACATGCTCGGGGTCACAGTAACGGTAACCAGACTCCATTCGGAAGGGATGGGGCCTGCTGCAAGTTCTCCTCATCCTCCCAATCCGGGACGCCCGCGTCCCGGTTGTCAAGCGCTGTTCGTCTCTGTACACACAGCGCCACCTCAAAATCTGCACTTCAATACGGAGTACAGGCGCGCAAACAGAAACGGGGGCATGCCACGAAAGCTGAGTCTACGACATAACGCAGCACGCGTTGTTGAGCCTTGGATTCCATAGCCAGGATGACCGCCTGCGCCAAACAGGGATCAGGGGCTCATGGGCGGCTCCTCGGTGTCCTCGCAGCTTGAATCAATGCTTCTCTGAGGCTCCCGTGCAACTGCGGTCTCACTGTCAGCAGCAGCAACATGCCAAACATCAAAGTCTTTTACAAATGCAACAGGACACCTCGACACTGAAAAGAAATCCCTCAACCCTGAAGCTTAAACCCGAACTGAACCCTAAAATAGCCCCAAAATCCCTGCAAGCAAAAAGGCCCTAAATCCTCAACTCCGATCCACGCCCTCGCAGCCTGCGCTGCAACCTTCCACTCGCGCCAGGCCTTTGCCTCGTCCTCAAAGCAGGCAAAAGGAGACGTGGATTTTTTTAAGGTTCATAGGGTAAGTTTAAGCGTTTAGGGTTTCACGGTTGTGTTTGGGGGGGTATGGCCAGGAAGGTGTGCATGGGATGCGGGCGAGGTAGCTGCTGTGCTTCTCGCGGGTGGAAGGACCTTTTCGTCGTTCACTCGAGCTCTGCGAGTGGACATGCCGAGGTGGAACTGGAGGCTGTCGGCCTATTGGCTTCTGCCACCGGCGCCTGTGCCAAGCGCGAGGTGCACATCCTCCGGGTCATCAGTCTTGTTGCCACACCAAGGTATAGGTATTCGTGCTGGCGTGCTAGAGGTCACGGTGCTGCCTTTTGCTGGCGGGTTTTGCAAGATGCACTTTTGCCGAAACTCGGCCTCCGCTGTCTCGGTCCGCCCATCGTGGTGGCTGGCTTGCAATTACAAGGAGTGCCAAGTGGGTGCAAAGACACGTCGCAAGCGTCATTTAGGGCGAGGTATGCAGGCCTCGCCCAAGCTCGAACAGAAGCTTTCCGTAGCTTTCCGCCCTGTGCTTGTGTTCTTCCAGATGATGCGCTAGCAGATCCGAGAGCTTTAACACGTGTGCATCATTATTACATCCGGGTGTCTTTCATGTCTGTGCGTCGTTGCGAATATCGCAGATGTGCCACCATTACCTTCGGGAGCCTCGTTCTTGGAGCTTCCTTGCAGCAGCCTGCAGGGCCTGCAGTCTAAAGAGGGCGTGTCCGAAGAAAGCACGCAGCCTTAGGTGCCAAGGCAGCGAGCGCCAGAGGATCTCTGCCTGCCATGGCTGCAAGAGCCCAAGGGCAGAACCGATGTCCCGGTCCGCAAGCCAGTTCTCCGTGAAGGTCACCGATGGCTCCAAAACAAGGACGATGTGCCACCAGCCTCTGTGGTAACCGGGTCTCTTGGGATTCAAAACTTTAAGATGGGGCCTATAGGGAAGGCTAAAATTGCAAGTATTTGGATTGTTTTCTTCGCTTCGGCCTGCAGGGCATACAACGACCTCTCCCTCAGACTGGATGAACTCGACCATGCCAATCCCTGCGGCCGCACCCGATCGCTGCGCATTGCAATGCAGGCCTCGCACTCGCTCATACTCCTGGCACACGGTATAGTAGTAGTGTACAGTATAGTAGTATGGTAGACTATATAGTATAGTATATATAGTATAGTATAATATGGGGCGGGGGCAAGCTCAGGATCAAGAGGCTTGCAATAGGCAACTTCCATGCTGAGCCTGCTCGAACCATGCCTTTGCTGAAGCTGAGGGATGATACTCCGGGTGCTCAGTGGTGCCCGAGCCCGGCAGCCTGCAGGGCAGCCCCTCCCTGGACACCAGCACGGACTCCGGCGTTGAGGGAGGAAAGATGCACCACCTCTTCTTCCCCACTATGCAAGCGTTCCAAAACATCGTCGAGTTTGGATCCTGATGACAGCCCAGCCCAGAACCCGCACTTCCACAGAGAAACCAGCGGAACAACGGATTCCAGGGCTTGCAGGAGGGATCGACGTGGATCTGGTGGTGCTCCTCAGCAGGGGGGTGGATCCGATGCTTCTGGCACTCGCGGATATAGGCGTATGCACCTCCATCGCGGGGCAACTGCAGCATCGGCAATGCCGGTCCGACATCATCCAGGAGCTGATGGTGCTTCGAATCGCTGCTCTCCTCGTCATCTCCCTGTTCTGGGAAGCGAATCTCCGAGATGTAGGTGTGAGGGTCTCTACCAAGCTCGGCCAGGTAGCCGGACATGGGGAGCTCAACTTGCACAGTGTTGTCCGACTCCTGGACCGCCCGGATTGCGAGGAAGCTTTGGTCTCCATAGAATCGACCGAGGCTTCCGTCACTCAGCCGCCAGCGGCTTCGTGCGGGCCATGGTGCCAGGAGATCCTCAGGACTTCCCTAAGCTTGGCTTGGCGTCTTATACTATATACTAAATTTAACATTACTTTATCATACTATACCACATACGGTATACGAAAAACGACACTATTCTGTCTGATGACGACCAGTTCAAAGCCTGGAAACTCTGCATAACATCTGCCAGGGCTCTTGTTGTGGAGCACTGTAAAACAGAACAGGCTCCTTTTCTCGCGAGCAGTCGAAAGCTTTGGTTCCCGATTGCAACCTGACGCGCTTGATGGGCAGCGGCCCGACATCCTTGCCTTTCGTCATTGGGCGCGTAACCTAAAATATAAGTCGTGACCCCCAAAAGCCACCTTGTCAACTCTGCTTCTGCTGCTCTTGAACTGCTTGTGGGAAGTTTCCACAAATAAAGTTCCGATCATGTGGCCAGAGGCCCTGCTTTTAGAAAGCTTTGGCTGCAGCCGATAGCTTGCAACAGACAGAAACTGCCACCTCGGCTACTCCGAATAATTCCGTCACACACAATGAGCATGACGACGCAAAGCGGCGACTAAGACAACAGTAGAAGCAGGCAGCCTGAATGCTCCTGTACCCTCGCCTAACCATTCCTTTAACCCGAAAATCTTAGAGCCCTAAATCCCAAAATTCCTTCCAGTTGACTGTGGATAAAGCCTTACGGGCCCAGGTCCTGCTCGTGGTCAGCAGCTGGACCCTGCCTGGAAGTCGGTCGAAGGGCACGACAAGGGACAGGAAGACGACCGAGTGACTACTGCGAACAGCCTTCAGTACTATTGGCGTTGAGTTTGCGAGCATCATGCATTCTTGTCGAGAAGTGGGACGAGCTCAAAACCTAGGGGCTGCGCTTTCATGGTCTTTTAAATGTGCAGTGCAAGAAACAGCTTCGTAAGCACTGTGGATGAGCTACAAAATCCATGGATACTTCCAAGGCAAGGTTATCACCCACAGACAGCCTGCCAACATGTGAAAACCACCCTAAACCCTAAACACACACCCTGGAGCTTGTCAAAGCTGCGTCTCCTTGGCCCAATCAGACGACGATTGGAGCCGGACCTCACCAGGGAAGAGAGCTTCCGTCAGCATCGACTGCGAAACCATATCGGATGATGTGATTCGCTTAACACAGTGTTTAAGGCTTGAGTGTGATAGATTACTAATTACTATAAGACTTGTATCATCCCTGATTCTCTGGTCATTTCAGCTCCCTAGCATCCTCGTTGTGAGCCCAGCAACACACGATGTCAGGCGTCATGTGAATCGTTCCATGTGCCGACCTCCGGAAGCTGGGACCTAGTGCCAGCGCCGTCAAGTCCCCGTTTCACAAGACTTCCGGGTGCCCCTTACCCACTCCTAGCCCTGCCAGGCAAAACGCACGAAGTTCCTGAAGAGACAACAGCAAGCACTTGATTTTGGGCTTCAGTGCTGTCCACCCAGCTCCCCCAATGCTTCTCCCGTTTTTGGTTTGTTTTCAGATTCGGGGGTGTGGCTTTTCAGGGTTCGGCGAGCCCGTTTGCAGCCACAGCCGTGAGCCAGCGTCATGAGCATCAACAGGCTGTAGACCATCCGGCGTTCGCGCTGATCAGAAGCCCCAACACACCACAAGCATCCTAACTCAGACACCTGCCGTCGGACTCATGTGCACCAGCTGAAGCACGTCTGCGCATCCGAAGCCATTCGAAGCCGAAGTTAAGTTTCACCCAAGGTCCAGTCACGCAGGCCAGCATCACGGGCATGAGCAGCCGTCTGCTTCGACAAAACAGAACCGGTCCCAGACAGTCCCAGATAAACACAACGACGAACATCAGCCACGTCCTTCGACTTGTCCGCGGTTGTGATAGACATTATAAATTAGATCCGGGAGATGCACTTTGTTTCGAATGCTTGATCGGGCATGATCAGGATGCAGTAAGTCCACTATACTAGGGCACTTGAATCAACTGCCAGCTGATGCTCATGTTAGCTGGTCTAAGCTAGATGAGACTGCCCAGTACCACGAAGGATCCTGGCGTGACAGCAGCCGCACTCCGGACACACTACGAAGCTGATGCGCATGAAGCTGGCTGGCCTGGCTTGGGGATCTGAGCTACAAGTAGTTCAAACGGTACAGTACGTCTACACCAAAAAAACACTGCCAGGCTGATGGGCGTGACGCTGGCCGTCGTTGGAGCTTGCTGAGCTTCTGATGGAGAGTCTAGAGATGTGCAGAGTCTACAGGGTTTGATACCCTTGCCGCTACCGAAGTTCCTGACATCGCGGAAACACGTTTCAGCTGATGCTGCTGATGCTGGCTGTTTCGTCTGGCTCGGTAGAGACGAGACGAGGCTGATGCTCATGATGCTTCGTTTCATCTTTGCTCCATGACAGTGCAGATTTCACCGACCACGGCAAGGCTGTGCCACGCTCTCCCTTCCAAGACGGCTCAGTCTCTTTTACCGCCGTCGGCATCAGTGCCATGTGGTAGCCACATGAGCCTCCATCTGTCAAAAGCATTCACTTCGAGTAGCCGCGTCCTTCTGACATGCCCCCAAGTCTGATAACATCAGTCACCACTCCCAGGGAACAAACATAAAACGAAGCATCATGAGCATCAGCTGCGTCTCGTCTCGACGGAGCCAAACGAAACAGCCAGCATCACCAGCATCAGCCTCCATGATGTCTGGGACTCCGGCAGCAACATCAACACCGTCAGCTCCAGCGTTTGTGCTGTACAGTTTCAACTAGCTCAAATCCCAACGACACGTCAGCCAGCATCATCAGCATCAGCCGCCAGTTGTTTAAACTGAGCTGCTCCTGCAACATAGTCCATTTCAGACAGCCAAGCACATGAGCGGCCGCTGCATCTCGTCTCGACCACCGTGACCAGAACGGCCAACATGCAGCCGCAAACGAGTTTTGACGATTTCAAGGACGTGAGAACGGAAAGCATCACGGGCATGAGCCAGCAGAGAGCCTGTTAGAACTCAGGGTTGGCACCCGGCATTGCCATCTATCACCAATCGGTCACACTGCGGATGCATCAGCTCGGGCTTCGGCGAGTTGTTCGCCTGTCATCGCCGTGCTGCGAGAAAGCTTAAGCCGACTTCGACTTTCTCACACTTCGAAGCGACTTTCCGGTGCCTTGGTCTGGTTGGTCTTGTCACGCAAGAGTCTGAACAGCAGCGGGCGTAGACCTTCAATACTCCGCAGAATGGCAGAACGCTCTACCAGGGAATAGGATACGGGTCCCTGGCTCAATAACCGCTCCAGGGGAGCCCAGTCGATGCTGTGCTCCGCTGCGCCGGGATCACCAGGGCAGTCATGCAGATGAATCCGCATGCTCTCCAGGTTTTCCACCTAGCAGAATCTAGCGGAGACTCTGAGTTGTGCCGTATCTAGCGCTTTGAGAAGAAACATGGCCTCCGCGGCATTGAGCCTCTGAACCACGGGTAAGAGCACCGTGTCGCGGTCTGAGCAAGGTCAGAGGATTCGGTTCCAAGGAAGGGCCGCACACACGATCAATGACGACCGGCAGAGGCAGAGGTGCTGGATCTCTTGACTTTCCGGCAGTATCCCAGCAGCCTTCTTGGTCGTCCTCCGTCAGAATGGCGCACAGAGCTCCCCATAAGGCGCTGAGGCAGCTCGGAGCCTGGAGCAGGAGGATTCGGATATTGCTCTGTGGGCAACTTCTTCTACACTGGAAGTACGATGACAGCTTTAATTTCAGGATTGCATCGCACAAGAATCTGACCCCGCTGCGCGGTCCATCGCTGGCAACCGCACCTGGTCGAGGCTTCACGGAACACGGACGGTGATTGAGAAATCCTACTCTTCAGGGTAATGCTGCAGATAGATGAGGTTTGGGCACTCGATGCCCAGAGCTTCCATGGCAGGAAGTAGTGCCTGCTCTTTCTTCTCTGGCTCCTGACCGCAAACTTATGCCTCACGCATCCTTACGCGTGCTGCTTGCGAGCGAGTTGGGCCTTCTTCTCAGCTCCTCTCTTCGCAGTTGCATCCTCCGGAGCAGTTCCTGCGAAAGTCACCGACTGATAGCATCTTGGACGGATATCTAAAGAATCTAAAGAAAGACGACAGGCACTGGACTGTGCCATACTGTGCCTGGTTGCAGAGGCACTTCCACCTTGCAGCTTGCGAGGCCAAAGACTGGGATTGAAGTGGCAAGAGACATGATACAAGGCACATTTGGACATGCGCCAAAGTGCCAGAAACAAATGCATAGACAGGAAGGGCGCACCTGCTCGGACTCGAGATCGCCGCTACCATTTTGTTCTACATCTCCGCCCCCTTCGGGATCCTTCGCTCGCCAGCCTGGGGGAGCGAGACCGAAGAGAGATTGTCTAAGTCGGCTGAGGAGGAGCCACCTCCAGCTTCGCTGCCCTTGATGGCAAGAGGAATGATGTCACGGCGGGGGTAGCGCTTGAAGTTGCCGTCCCGCCTAACATGATGGTCGCTCCAGGCTGCAGCCAAACTCACAGCACTCCCGGCACAACATCCTTCTCTCCACGAAACCGAGTCCAAAACCTGGCGTGGTCCTGTCAAGTACTAACAGGATTTGAAGCAAACCGTCACAGCCACTGTGCTACATCCTGCAGTTGGATCATTTCTTATTCCAAGCATTGGCAGAGCCTCCGTGTCAGCGTCTCGGGCCTCAGCAATCCACCGACCAAGGGCAGCTCGAAACCCCGAAGCCTAAACCCTAAAACCCTAAAACCCTAACACGCTTCAAGCGCTGAGATGTCTGCGTAGTCTTCCGGCGTGGCCGTCTCCCTGGCGTTCAGGATAAGTTTAGGGTTTCGGTAGGGCTATATGAGGCGTGCAGGGGCCTTGAGAATTCCAATAGAATTTCGGCGGGCATCATGGTATAATCACAAAGGGACAATAAGGGGGTATTCTCCCAGACTCCGAAGATCTTGAGATAAAACTTCGCTGCACCCGCCAACTACGATTATATACCCCCAAAAACCTGATCTAACTACAAGAAGAGTCCCTAACTTGCTAATCCCTAATCCCCCGAGGACGCCACGGCCATCGGAAGTGTACCGGATCCACGTCCTCCAGTGACCCCCGGCCTGGCAAAAGCTTAGGAGGTGTGAGCTGAGGGTTCAGGACTTTTCTTGTACATCGTATATAGTAAATAGCAAGTATAGAGCACAGCGTATAGGAGTATATAATATAGTAAAATAGTAGCCTATAGACATATAAATGACTCGGGATCCGTAAGATGCGCAGATTCTGGGGTCTGGAGTGCTCTCTCTGCGTCTGACTTGCCAACATGAACAGTTTCTGCGGAACCGAGATTGACGAAGACTTGGTGACATGTGTAGTCAACTTCACGAGGTTTCGACTCTTTCGATCAAGTCCTAGAATCGAAGTCATGCAACTTGTCGCCTAGGCCGGAATATGACCAAGTTCTACCTGGTCTCTCCCTGAATCTTGTAGTTAAGCTCGTGTCAACTTGTGTGGTCTGGATGATGGAATTTGTGCTGTAGCACTACAAAACGATCTGTGCAGGTTTTTTTTTCAGGATGATGCTCAGACAGCTGTAAGTCGAAGAGCGGCATAAACAAGATCAGGTTAACAGAGCTTAGGAGAGTCCTGACTTCTTTGCACAAGCCTCCCCATGAATCCTAGAGCAGTGGTGCAGTGCACCTGAGCCTTTTCCTCGATGCCGGCTGGAGTCCTGACGTCCAATTCTCAAGGCTCAGGGGGGCTGCAGGTAGTCTGCAGCTGGGGGCTCAGTCCTGGAACCAGTTGATTTCCAGCTTGTTCTTGCCCTGAACACTCAAAAAAAACCTAAAAAGAGCAACGCTCGCAGGCGCTGAACAGCTCGCGGCCTTCTCCTGCACAAAGGTCTGCTTATGGACTCTGATGTAGTGATCCTCGAGGCCCTGCGGGAGACTCCGGGCTCGCCAGTGTCAAGAAGCGCAAATTGAGAGATGCTCCTTCTCATCCGCGAAAGCGATCTGCCTGTAACCGCCAGTCGCGCAGTCCTAGCAACAGGAGCCCCGAAGTGCGCGGCCCTTCCTTCGCATCGGTCGCTCCCGATTTGCCAACCGCTGATTTCAGCTCCAACTCACAGCTCCGGAGGGCGGTCCGGGTGAGCGCACACGTAGTGGCATTCCTGATAATGGCGCGAAAGGCCTCGAAAGGCACAGGACAACAAGCTGCTGTCCAGCAACCAGGATCCGCACCAAAACTGAGGCTCCTACACTTTGGGTTCAAGTAGTACTCGTTCTTCCATCCCATGGAGTCACAAAGATTGCAAACCCCGTGCCTTAAAGGGAGCAGCAAGTGCTGGACTTATAGCAACCTAGCTCCACCTGCTTCTGCAAGCAGTCAGACGCATGCTCTTGCAAGGCAGTTGCTTCATCTGCATATGTGCCAGAAGGCTCTCATCGTTGAAGAACCTGCACAGGAAGTCTGGGGCCTGGGGTGAATCGAATTTGGTCTGTCAGGGTATGCCGCGCATGCCCTGTGAGGCAGAGGCGCAGCACAACACCACAGTTCGCATGCCAATGCCTCTGACCGCAAAATTCGCACTTGGGATGAGGAGGAACCTGGACAATAGACTCAAGAAATGGACGACCAGGTTCCAATGCACCTCTGCAACCAAGCTGCACTTGCTGCTGAGCTGGTCGGATGCTCCGTCGACCTTGTGGGCGAGGTCAGGGTGACAGAGGTGAGGAACAATGGATGAAGCCGTGAGGAGCACCCGGCTCAGCAATTGCAGAGAAGCCGAAGTTCCTTCACGTACTTGTCACGCTGCCGGGCAAGGCGACGCGCCAAGCGGATGCAAAGCCCCATTGGAGGTTTGATGACGAAGTAAGAAGCCGCCGACTATAAGATAGTTTCAAAACAAACCCCCGCCTTCCCCCTACTTGTAGCATGGTGGCGACAGAGGTGTTGGGGGTTTCCATCTTCTGAGCGCAGGGTCTGGCCTTGCAGTCCCTTATCTTCCGAGGCATCCGTTTGGGCTCTACGTCTCAACTTCATCGCTTCCCTGTCGTTCAGAGAGGTTTGTTCTCTCGGGTAGAGATGGCATGACCTCGAGAGCTCTGCAAAGGTCGGCCTGACATGCCTGACCTGGATTCCTTTCAAGCTGACTGTTGCATACGAACAACCCATGCAGTCTTTGTCGAAAAGAGGCTGCAAGACCGCATACCTGCACTGCGGTAGTTGGTACATGTTTGCCTGTGTTGCAACACTAGTGGGGTTCTTATTTCGCCAACCTGATCCCACCCATCACGGCTCGCTGTGTAAGATAGGAAAGGGCTCAAATGGGTCGTCAATGCTTGATCTGGCCGCCAGCATTCTCCTCCACTTTGCCACCGCGACTCGTTCCTGCCATGGCCGGAAGCGGAGCGGTATGCGGTAGCTTCGCTTTTTTGCGGCCTGGCTCCCTGCGTGCAGGGCCCACGGCTCTGCACAAGCCCCGGGTGAGAAGACGCCCAAGGCGTGCTTCACAAGTTGTGCGGCTGTCGAAAGCGCATTTTGCACCTGAACCTACTGAACCAGTGTGAGCTATTGTGTACTCCGGAGGAGGAGCTTTGCAAGAGGAAACACAAGCCGTGCAGAGCGGCCCATGATCCGCTGCTGCACTACCGACTCTGCAGAGTCCACGTGCAACTCTCGAACAAGCTGTCTTGTTGGCAGCATCTTGTGAGTACTGGATATTACTTGCAGGAGTTCTGCATCTTCCGTCTGTTCTTGTGTCCGGTCTGACGTTTGCAGCTGAGACGCATGAATGCGGCGTCTCCTTCCCGAAAATGGCGCTCCATGTCGTTCGACGCATAGGCCTCAAGGACGGGAATGTGCCGCCCTCCCCTGCGTGCAATTTCGTGCAATCGGCGCGAACTTGAGATCCAGGCCCGCTGTTCACAAACGAATGCCGGCCTCGAGGGATGGCAGAAATCTTACTTACTCATACTGCATACTCCCTTCAGCGAACAGAGCCCGTGACTGCAAGGAGAAGGCAGAAAAGGACAGTATAATGTCAAGAATGTAGAGTTGCACCCGCACGGCACCGCGTTCAAACCGGCCTGTGATGCAAGCAGACATTGCAAAGCTGTCGCCAGTGCGAGTGCCAAAGGTGCTCCTGCAACACTCACTGCAGATGGCTTAATACCGTTATATGCAGCACAAGTGCTCTCAATTCGGCACGAAAACATGTAATCGAAGCGGGACCGTCATATCGAACTTCCCAATCCCAGCGGATGTTTGGATGGCAGGGGTCAGAACGCTACAAGCCCGAAGCCCACAAAGTCTAAGCCCTACAGTAACCCGTCCTCTAACTTTTTCAGAGTGTTGAAGGCAACGTCTCGCTTCTCGCAGCCTCGGTGTGTCGGCCCATGATGCAAAGAAGCAGATTGCCTTGCAACCGACTAAACTTAAACCCAAACCACCATAAACTCTAAACCCCAAATCCCACACCACCCCAAGCAACCTTGAACCCAAAATTCTACATCCCAAACCCAAACCATCTTAAACAAATGCTAAACCGTTGCGGCAGGACATGGCAGGACTGCATTTGGAGCTGGTGCATGCTTCTTCCTGAGCCGCTTAAAGCTTTCCTCGCCTTTTCGAGCTGAATATTGGAGGCCCTGGTACGTAAACTACGGTTTTGGGCTGCATTACCAAATAATGATTATAGTGGTTACAACTTATAGTCCCTGTTCGAACTGTGTAATTATCATGCACATAGCACGGTATTGAGGCCATTGACATGATTTTGCCTGAACGTGGCCGAAATGGTGTATACACTCGGGCCCCGCTTCGTTTGTAAGTGAAAAATATTGGTTGGCTCAACCTACCTGCGCAAGCTAGTATAGCAGTTTTCTGAATGGAATATGCCGAATTATGAAGGCAGCAACGTAGCATCCGCGGCATGGAGCTCATGTCTGCTACTGCGTTCTTCGGTTGAAACATTGAGATATTCTGCTTCGATTGTAACAGCTTCGATTGTATCAGTGTAGTCACCCCAAGTCCCGTCGGTTGGTGTTGCAACCAAGACCAATGATGGTTCAATTTTGTGGGCCGGCCACGTCCAAGCCATCATGCTGTCATCTTGTCACTCGGATTCTTTGCGCAGTGATTTTACAGGCGTACACAAGACTGAAACCATGCAGTCGTCAGAGTCATGCAGCTAAGTGATGAGTCGAGTTGTTCGTGGACCTTTTATGTCATGTTTTTCGAAAACGATGAAGTCCTGGAAGCATGAGGGTGCGAAGACATCCGAGGAGCCCAAGTTTGATTCAATACTTGGAGCAGGCGCGCTTGTGCACGGATTTCGCAGCCTATGTATATTGCAGACACGAACAGCCGTGAAGAAAGTGATGTGGCTCCGAATGCAACAGAAGGATCAAGTGCTCCGGTCGCTTTTCCATAGCGGCGTGCTCTACGAGACCTTACAACATTCGAAACGCTAGCTTCCGAAATGGCGGTACTACGGTTAAGTCTCCCCGGGTTCGCTGTAGTTTTCTGTGACACAAGACGGGGCAACTAGTGGCACGCGACAAAGTCGGCTCTATTTCACTAGCGCCCAGCTGCCAGCTAGCGCCAAAATGTCACTTGCAAAGCATAAAAATATGAATTTAAACATCGATCACACGACATCTCTTCAAGGGTTTTCAATCCAAAATCCGGTTTAATCTGTGTGAATATGGAACGTCGTCGGGCTTCCAGTCCAGAACCCAATTTGCGGCTGCGGCCATCGGGGTCGGAAAGACATGGCCTACTAAGCGGCTCTTCAAGCCCATACTTCCCGCGGTGCAGATGCCAGAGATTGCCAGAGAACTACCTGTTTCTGCACTCAGACTCTTAAAGTGGTGAAAGAAACCTGGGCTTCTCGGATGTCTTCGCACCCTCATGCTTCCAGGACTTCATCGTTTTCGAAAAACATGACATAAAAGGTCCACGAACAACTCGATTCATCACTTAGCTGCATGACTCTGACGACTGCATGGTTTCAGTCTTGTGTACGCCTGTAAAATCACTGCGCAAAGAATCCGAGTGACAAGATGACAGCATGATGGCTTCGACGTGGACGGCCCACAAAATTAAACCATCATTGGTCATGGTTTGCAACCCCAACCGACAGGACGGGGTTGACTACACTGATACAATCGAAGCAGACTATCTCAATGCTTCACCCGAAGAACGCAGTAGCGGACATGAACGCTATGCCGTGGATGCCACGTTGCTGCCTTGGCAACTGTGGACATGACAGCATGCTGGCACCTCCATCTCGGTCTGCTAACTTGAGCCCGCAATCGTTACTGCATGCTGCAACGTCCAGATCTGCTTCTGAAGGATGATGCCACATCTACCAAATTACAAAGCCTTCCAATCTGTTCTGCAAACCCGTATACTGTACGAGGATGTATGTTCTATTGCCAGACTATCGCTAATCTAGCGCCAACATGGTGATTTACTTGCCCAACCTCGGGCCCCGTCTCATTCCGAAGAGTAAAAAGCATGCTCCAAAGATCGTTATGGCCACCCTACTTTCCACTCCACAACCGCGCATTTAGGCAACCTCCCTAAATGTATTTTAGGGAGATACCGTACGATGGCTGCAATACTAGACCTTAGATTATGATTCTACGTACCATTATATTACTATACTCAGAGTAGAGACAGTAAGGGGTAAAAGAGGATACACCCTAAACCTTTGCTGAACCCTATACCCCATTTTTAAAATTGTATACCCTAAACCCAAGACCCTATACCCCAAACCCAAAACCCTATACCCCAAAACCCTATAAACCCTATACCCTAAACCCAAAAGTCTATACCCCAAACCCAAAACCCTATACCCCAAACCCTATACCCCAAACCCAAAAGCCTATATCCCATACCCAAACCCCAAAACCCTATACACAAAACCCTATAAAGCCTATATCCCAAACCCAAAACCCCAATACCCATTAGGTCCGCGGCCCTCCATCTGGCATCGATAGCCCAGTAGCTGCCCGGCAGCTCGACCTAACCCGGCTATCTTGTCTTGAGGGCCTTGTTCCATCTAGGCGTAAGGTTTATGATGTAATTTAAGACATTTAGGGAGTTTAGGGTTTAGGGATTGAGCTTTTTTTGGCTTAGGGTTTCAATTAGAGTCAGGGCCTTTCAGGTTAGAAAGGGCTTCGGCAAAGCCGCCTTTTGCTTCAACCAGTCCTCGCTGTCCCTTTTACGGGCCACTTCTATTCCGCACCCAATCGAAAACCGATTAGCCGTGTGAAGCGCAAGCTTCGGGCGGATCGTGTCGTCACCGAAGTACGTCCAGGGAACTTCATAGTTAAGTCCCAGGACATCCTGGCGGAACCAATGTAGAGACGTGTCACACGAGCACCATGGCATACTGGCAAGATCCTGAACCTGCACCTCGATCTCAGAAGCCTACGACAACAGTCCGCCCCACAGCAGTAAAGCTCTAACCTGCGCACACTTCACACTGCAGGCTCTGGGTGTCCTTCGGATCGAAGGATGCATCGCGCCTGTTGGTGAGCAGCACCTGCAAGGGCGCTGCAAGCAGTTTGGATTTAGTGACCTCTGACGCTGCGGAGGTAGGGCCGCGCGTCCTTGCATCCCCTTTTACGTGCCAGTCTATGCATCAGCGCCCTGTCCCGGCTGCCAGAAGGCTACAGACTCCGCAGCGCCTCAACCAACTCCTCGTTGCAAAGTGGGCAGCGGGTCTCCTGCCAGGACCACTCTGAACCGTCAAACCGAACCGTGACAACACCCAGCGATGTGCTGAAATGGCAACTGTGCAATCAAAGAGCGCTTGTTGAACTAAAACAGGGATTCGCGAGGAAGCGCGAAAATGGTTTGATCCGGAACATGTGAGACGCCTTGGGCGTTTGCAGCAACGGATGGGCAAGGACGGGAAAATCCAGGAACGGAGCCGGACAGGTAGTGATGTGGGCATAAGGAACTATGGCAACGTCCTTGGACTTCCTATGAGCTTGGGACTGCTGCAGGATGCAGCTTCGGTAAGCTAGCATCTAGCCTCTTGTGGCAGCATGTCAAGCCAAACAGGGACGAAGGTCCCCTTCAACTATACAGCGTGAGACTGTGGCTGAGCGAAAAGAAAACTGAAGTTACTAAAGTTGCAAGTCTGGCAGTCGCCCCTGCAGGATCTTGAGATCTAAGTCGGCTTGTGGACAAAGTCTCACTGCAGGGCGCAGCATGCCCGCTGCTGTGGCTTGGCCGGAAGACTTGCTGCCAGGTTTGCAGCGCGTATGGCCTCCTCACTCCAGTCCAGTTCTAACCGTCCTGAAAGATGGCCTGTTGCGAACGAACAATTCCTGTTCACAATAGGCTTGTCGAAATCCAAGTGAAAGCGCTGCCCAGACAGAGTGTGGGAAGAGTCGTATCCAGGAAAGCGCAAACCTACGGAACCTAGCCTGACGTTCTTGTTGTACAGGACAAGAATCACAGAACAGCTGTTCAACTCGTCCTGGCATGTTGCTGCGGGCCGCAAGACAGGCAGCTCATCCGCCCTCCATGTTGGCTCACGCATCTGCCTCACTGCACTTTCATATCTCGCGGTGTTCAGCTCCAGCGGTGTTACGATGAAGAGCACACGGAACTTTGCTCCTTGTCCAGAGGGCACACCTCGTGCTTTTAGGTGGGTCACCTGCACAGCCGGAAATTTGTCTGGCGAGAGCTGCTTCTGGAAAAGCTGCCCGAGAGAAGCAGGCGCTTCCACTTTAAAACGTGCAAAGACCGGCTTGTGATCGCTGGTGGTCACCTCCGCTGGTGACGCCAATGTCTGCTGGGTAACGCAGCCTTCTAAGGAGTCCAAGGATTTCCAGAGAATGCGATCACAGTAAGAAGGAGTTCTCTCCTCTTGGTGCTTTGTGCCACTGGCTCTTTCAACCTTGAAGGTCGGAGGGAAGCTCGGGTTGCCCTCCTGGAATCCCACGAAGGCCTTCCCTGCTTGCCGGTAGAGCCTTAGCTGGTCATGGCGCATCAGCTCATCATAGAGCTCTGCCTCGACCATGTCCAGGATGGCGGTGAAGTGATCGGGCCTGAGGCAAAACAAGGCGACACCAATCAACAAAAACATAAAATCAGGGCTTCGGAGGACGCTTTTGAAACCGGGCGAGGAAGCTATGATAACTCCGAAACCCATCTGCAGATTCATGTCATGACCAATGCCTCGACGTCCTGGGCGCTCGACAAAACTACACGGCAGACTCGAGGTGCGCAACACTCAGGCTCCCGAACTCTTACCAATCTTACCAGTGCGAGAGCACCCCGTGCTTTCTTTTTAGACATGTATACAAACATCTGGAGATGCTGGTGTCAAGACGAGGCACCTGGAGGGGTTTGACGGAGCCGACAAGGTTGAAGGCCCTGTCGGAATCTCCTTGCCCGAGGTGGGCTTTGCCTTGCCCAAAGCAACCGTTGGGAGGTCTCTGAGGTCAGACATGGCCAGGTCAAGCCTGTAGTTCAGATCCCCAAACCAAAAGCAGTGGTCGAACTCGCAGGAGAGGTCCAAGTCGGGATGACACACTGGCCATGTCTCCTGCAGTATCTCCCGGCAGTCGCTGTTGCGCTTCTCTCCCGCGCTGAGGTGGGCAGCTAGGTGGCAGCTTACGAAGCACAGCCGGGTCGGCCCAAATTGCAACGTCACCACAAGACCGCCCTTGTTCCCGACAGTGCCGGCCATCAAGCCTGTTGCCGAGTATGTTTGCTGCACGGAGTGCACCAGGGGGCCACCACACCACTCGAAGGTGCCATCACAGTACTCCGTCCGAGCAAAAACGAGGAGGCGCATGCTCATGAGGACCACCTGCTGCACCCTTGTAAATCCATCCCCAAGCCTTTCTGCCAGGATGTCATCCCAATGGAAATTGAAGGCTTCCTCCCGGACATCCCGGACTCGCCGCTCAGGGCTCTTGTCGCTGGAGCGGGGACTACTACCCAAAGTGTGCCAGGCCTCTTCCACTGCCCCGGAGAGCATCGGAAGCTGAACCTTGCCACTGCCTTTCAAGGACTTCCGGCGCTTCGGGTTGCGAGACGGGCTGCTGCCCGGATCATAGCTGCACTCCTGAACTCCAACAGCTACAAGATCATAGTCGCCTCCCTTCTTTGGCAGCCAGTGCTCTAGTTCCTCCTCCTCTGGCTTGGCATCACCCATATTCCACGTGAAGCACAGGATCTTCATGGATTGCCAGGGTTGCGGGCCAGGTGCATCCTCCTTGGGTACAAGGACGTTTACATCCTCCGGCACCACATCCACATCGGTAGGAACAGATGCCACAGTCATGAGATGTCGTGCGGCTTTAAGTTGGTCAGAGACTCGGGACAAAGAAAACACTTTGCGTCTGTGAAAACTGTTCGTACAAAATGATAGTGCGGGCGGGTTCCGAAGCGTTAGCCAGGGTATTTTATGTACGCTTACAGAGTGTTCGAAAGGTTTCCGTTCTATGAAGCCCCCTGAGTCAAGTCTCACCTTCCCTACTCTTCTTGGCACATTGCTCCTCAGCCAGCTTCGGATGGCACTCACATGTACACATCCTGCGTCAGGCACCCATCTGTGCACGCTGACAGCCGCATGTACTCTCAGGTGGCGGGATGCTACAGTAGCCTTTTAGTACCCTAGTGCCACCCACTATAGTACCCCTTATAACCCTAATTTGTACCTTTATAGTACACTTGTAGTAACCCTCATCGTCATGAGTCATATACCGGTAACCCCATAAGTGCACTTCTTGAAATTCGCATAGTAACCCTAATAATTTCTCTTGCTCATCGTTTTTCGGTCCCCAATAAGGAACCTTTTAAGTACTCTACCGTAAGCCTACTGGTACCCTCAAGTGCTCTTGTCATGTCATATCGTATCCCTACATCGGTGTCATGGAGGCCCGCGCCTGGTTCAGAACACGCAGCCGAAGGGTGCAAATCCAACAGACTGGATGCCTCGAGCAGATCCGAAGAAGATTGCGGATTTGGGGCGTTGGGCCGTAATAAGCCTGTCGTCGTCGTCGTCGTAGTAGTAGTAGTAGCAGTTCAGTAGTAGTGGCAGTAGTTGTGGCAGTAGTAGCAGTTCAGTAGTAGTAGAAGTAGTAGTAGTAGTAGTAGTAGTAGAAGTAGTAGTAGTAGTAGCAGAAGTAGTAGTAGTAGTAGTAGTAGTACCTAAGCGCGCCTCCAGGCGCCTGGTGTTAACCTTGCTTCTTCAGCCGTTTTACTCGGTATTTACAGTACTTTCGTGATGGCGGGGGGG